CAATTACATGTACATCTTGTCCAGTCTGTTGTGAATGAGTGTGTGAGTTGTTTTAACGTCACTTTGAACTGTATGTCATTTATATCATGTTATGCCATCTCAATGTGGGACGAATGACCGCAGTGATGCAGGACTTGGTGTTTGCAGACAGACCAAGAAACATATCCAGGGACAGTCGACATTCGAACCCAAGTTCATAGGTTTCCGGTACGACCATGGGACGCAACTCTGCATGTCGAATCGCGGGCCGTCCAGACGTAATTGGACATTGCATTGGCATTGGATTCCCTTTCATTAACTTTGCATGTACTATGTTACAAATTCCACGAAAGACTTTCAGTTACTAAATAACACTAAGCTGCAGGTTATGGTAATTATGTGCGTTTTAGTTTCACCCACATCAGAAATGTTTCATAGCACTGGCTCAGAATATTTAAATAAACTTGAATTTGTAAAAAATGTCATCAGAAGTTTACTGAGAAAAAAATATGTAAAATGATGGAAACGTTGTTGGTAAGACATTTAGGCAAGAAGTAGGCACCCCATGGGCACTAGTTGTTCTCCATCCTTGCTGATATGTTTCTTTATGCACATGAATCAGAATTTCTGCTTGGATTGGCAAAGTCAAAACAAGTTAATGTGACCAACAAGTTTAACTTAAGCTTCATATTTATCCATAACGATCAAATATACATTTCCATGCCACTGATTTACTCTCCTGAGCTAGAAATAAAGGCGATGAATGAGACCGCCTTATTTGTTTGATATTTAGACATATGCATACAGATACAGAGCGAGAAAACAATCTGCACAATACTGTATGCCAGGAGGGATGACTCCTACTTTCCAATAGTCAACCTCCCCTTTACTGGGAACAATATTCCTGCAGTCCGAGCCCTTTCACAACTTGTGAGGTACAGTCGAGCATGCTCTTTCTACCAAGATTTCGAAGAGCGTCAGACGACTCTTGCTCAGAAGTTGTTTGATCAAGGTTACAACAGTCAATGCCTCAGTAAAACTTTTAAAAGGTTTTATGGTAGACATGTGGGGGATATTTCCAAATTTGTAGCAATTTGACAAAAAAATGTCCGATGCAAATCCCTATTTTGACTTGTACTAAGTGTTCCCGTGTTTTTTTAGGTGAACGATTGACTTGCCTTTGCATGTGTTTGTGACGGGTGCCACCATTGAGGCAGGATACGCTCACCTTTTCGCGAACACCTGGTATTATCGCTAGTTTATAGCGATTCACAAACACATGATCTATGGCGAGGATTTCGTATGAATATGGAAAGGTTCTTGGCGCTTTAATTTACATTTTTACTACCTCAACTTAAACTTACTGACCCTTTTTGATCATCGCGGAAGTTTCGGATGTCCCCCGTACTTCGAGTTATCGACTTCGAGTTGAAAAGGTTACGAACGATTTCTATTCAGTAGTGTTTTCCTATTTTTCATATACGACTTTCACTTTTGATATCGGTAAGACAATGCTTGTGTTGGAAACTATGGGAACTGCGAGCTATTGCATTGCTGCGTTCCGGTACACATCTTTTACTAATAATGCAATTACTATGTCCTATCTAATCCCGAGTATGTAAAAAGAAATTATACATGTTCAATTCCAAAGGTAAGTAATGACGGAACATGTTACAAATAACTTAAGCGTGGTATTCAAAATGTTTCATTAACTCAGTCACGTAGAGGTCAACGCCTTCCGTACTGGCTGCGCGAAAATTTACAAGATCCACTTAGAGTGAATGTGATTTGAATATCAACATACATATTGTCTGGTATTCAACTCTTTCTACTACCTTATCCTTATACTATCCGATATATACAGCACTTTATATAACTAGAACACCACAGTAACAGTTATAGCATATTTACGTGGATCCCACATAATCCTTTTTATTTATACTAATTTGACTCCTGGTAATACGAATCGTTTGAGAACACATTCTGTCTTACAAAATACACTGGGTCCCCTAAGTCAATTGCCTGAGGCATTTGCGGTGTAAATACTCTGGTGGCGAGACGTTGTCGAACTGTCTTCACCTATCAGCTGGCATCACACGCTCACAAAGCGTTGTTTATTACTGTGTAACGATTCCAAATACCCTCGTCAGTCTGTGCAGTCGTCGTGGGCAGTGGTGTCCCAGTCGTCTAAGACGCCACAGTTCGCTGTGTATAATTGCGTCCCTTAAGCGTGACAGAATCTTATGATTGTGGATGCAAATCCCAAATTCGTCCTACTTATTCGAATTGGTTTGTCAGCACAAAACACAGAAGTGTAAAACGTCTTCGACCTGCACATCATAGGTAGTGTCTCCCACATTGAGCTGGTTTGTTGTTTATGACCGCGTGAGTATGGTTTTACGCCGCTTTTAGCAACATTCCAGCAATATCACGGCGGTGAACACCAGAAATGGGCTTCACACATTGTACCAATGTAGGGAATCGAACCCGGATCTTCGGCGTGACGAGCAAACACTTTAACAACTAGGCTACCCGATCGCCCCTTGCTGTTAATGAAATAGTGTATAAAGCAGGGATAAAACTCACTCACTCACTCATACTGGAGAGTAGACACTCATTTTTCGATCCCTTGGATTGCCGCTTAAAATGTAGACCGAATCTATAACCAAGTAGTTGATTGTGTGTGGTCCATTGAAGAAGCTTGTGTTGTTTTGTTGGATTGATCAGTTTATATTACGATGTTTCTCCCCCACCCGTGAATACATACGACCGAAGTGACGCGTGTCCAAGTTCTGAAAGCCAATGCAATGAGGCCGATTAGAATTAAAAGCGACCAAAACCCCATCCATAACCATAAGACATATCTGCTAAAAGCAGAGTCCACAGTACGATTCCGACTACCGTATTCGACGTTATAAGCGCCCCGTTCTAATAAGCGCCCACGGCGATATTTGCTAATATATTGGCATGTGAACATTTGCAATTAGCATCCCTTCCGATTGATCAATGCACACAAGACTTATTTATTCGTGTGTAATAAGCACTTGTGTGTTATATGCACCATAATTATGGGCAATTAAATTCTGGAAAATATATCTGTTGTGTATGATACGCACATACTTTTCTTTTGTATCATTTCAGGCTGTCAGCATAAACTACGAAATTTATGATCTTTCAACTGTTTTTTTCTCACCGAAATTATTTTCTAATAAGAGCCCCCTATTTCTAATTTTGAGAGGGCGCTTATTACGTCGAATACGGTATATTATAATCATGTGTTTATGAAACACTATTAAATAGTGTTCAGGAAAATCCTTATCCTGTCCTGTGAGTCATACGTCACAAATGCATGCAAAGGCAAGTTAAGTTTTCAAAAAACAAACAAACACGGGAACATTTGGTACAAGTCAAAACAAGGAATTGCATCGGACATAATGTTTGTCACTTAAGCGTCGAATTTGGACATGTCCTCCAAATGTCTACCATAAAACGTTTTAAAAGCTTTACTAAGGCCTTGAATGCTGTAATCCTGATCAAACAACTTTTGAGCAATAGTTGTACGACTCTCTTTAAAATGTTCGTAGAATGAGCGTGCTCAGTTGAACCAAAGTATAGACACTTTAAAACTCGAGCGGTTGGAATATTGTTCTACATATAGGGATAGTTGACAATAGGACAGTTGAAGTCTTCCCTCTTGTCATACAATTTTGTGGATAACTCTTCTCTCCTTGGGGAGTAAACAACATAAGCTTCCTTATGAGTCCTTATGAGTCGCTAGAAGGTTAACAATCACATTACCATATGATCCTACCGGGTATCCATTCACTGCTGGGTGAACAGAGGCATATTTCTAACAAAGCCTATAGCCTAAGGTTGACACGACATATGCTACATGTGTTTCAGTGTGGGCGGGACCAAAGCCCTAGAAACTCTCAGGGGACAAGCATGCCAAACAGGGTCACCCATCAATCTTCACTCCGCGAACAGCGCTTCTTAATTTCGCCTGATTTGTGGCCTGTGCACTGTTACACTGGTCCAATCAGTGAAAGGGAATTGGCTTTTTGACCATTATTGAACGACATCAGATCAACGATACACCCAAAGCTTAAGTTAAACTTCTTGGCCAAATTCCCTTGTTTTGAATTTGCCAATCCGAGCAGAAATTCCGACTCGTATGCATAAAGAAACAGATCAGCAGAGAGGGAAGCACATCTGGTACCCATGGGAATGCTTACTTGTTGCCTAAAATGCCCCGACCACAAAGTTCACAAAGATGTTATCCATGAAGAAACTTCAGATGGCATTTGGCATTCATTTCCCACAACCTTTGAAGACAGAGATGTAACTATATCTACGTTCACAACGTTTTGTGACAAATGCCCACTGGATCAAGAAAGGAGATTTCTCCTTAAGTTTCTCGTGTGGGATAGTGGTGTAGAGTGTGAAAAAATCAAATGTTTTGACATAATTGATCTTGGATCTTTTCTGAGACTGCACAAATTGAAGCAAATCCTTTAAGCTTTTGAGAATCCACGTGGTATTAATTCCACTCGTCTCAAATACCTGCAAATATAAATTAAGTCATTCCTTGATTGCATTAAGGATGATGGTTACCTTTTGAAAAGAATCTTTAACTCATGGAAGTCAATATTGAACTCTGTTCCATGGATGAAGTTTGCGTGAGTCGTTGGTTACAACAGCTATCTTGCCCTTTGCGCCAAATGGAATTTGTTTCGGCAGAAAATCTCGGCTGGTTATTCTATGCTTTGAGATTTATTTTAAAAATAGTGGCTACACTTCGGAGCCGCCGTATGTATTCACCGTTCATGGCGGGAATATATAAATTCTCGGAAGTATTGACGATGAAGTGTGTCATGCCGTCTTCTGTTATTCTTCAATATTGACACTCACACAAGTGAGTATCGAACAATGCTTTGCGCTGCAACGAACACTAACTGTCAGCGAGAAATAAGCACAGTCAACGACTTCCATCTTGTTATGATGGACAATGCACATTGGGTATAATTTAATTAATCACAGCCTGGTACAAACATTGGAGGACTCAGTTTCAATTTCAACAAGGATTGCTAAAACATGCCACACTGTAATACCTCGAATTAAGCCCATAACAACTACAACGCTATGATCACTTTGAGGTGGGTGGGCTTACACTTGAATATTACAGAAACGAAACAGTTCAATATACAGAAATGACATAGAGAAATACCGAGCAAGCGTATGCATTATAGCCAGATATATAGATACCCATATGTATTTGTGGTACTTGTTGTAGGTCTCAATAAGAACTCCTTGCAGAGTTGAACCATGAAAAAAACACTTTTGAACCACAATTATCACAAAAAAATTCTTTTTTTCCCATGCGTGTTGACAAATAATGTAATGTACACACGGAATAACAAACTCACGTTACATATGAATGCATTTTCTGGATATGACTGAATAATTCATTGTAATGATTAAAGCTTGAAACGAGTTAAGGTAATATCCATTAAGACTTCCTTGAAAAGTTTAAGTGATTGTTTTTGACCATGTATGGAAAAGAAGGTTTCATCAGTGTTCAGTACAGCTTGAAATTGCAAAGTGAAATTGAATTCTCAAGCAACAGGGAAATTCATAGTTTGACATAATAATATTTCAAAAACTGTTTGACACCAAATATGATTTGGTCACATTCCTCGCGGCTGTTAACACAGTAATGTCATGGGCACCAATGCTTACAGAGTAATGTGTCATAATACTAAAGTCTGTACACAGTCACGAATATTTTTTAAAAAGAAGATGCATGGCAACGTTTTCAACAACGACAGAGACATGTTAAGAAGACGTGTTCAGATAGATAGAGTGACCTGATGTATAATGATGCCTCAGTTTTTATTGTACTGAACACGTAAATCAATCTCAAGCAAACACACGTTCTCCTGCGCACCTTTTGCATTTGTAAGAGACGAGCAATATTACAGATATTTGGAATATGTTGTCAACTATAATTCTTCTTCAAGTTTCACATTTTACTCAATTTAATTCATTTTACACAAATCAGTTCCATTTTCTTCAGTGCATTAAGCAAGAGACTCAATAATCTAAATCCCATATAGTGGTGCTAAGACACATTGCCCAAAGAATAAAATCGAATATCCGTACTTATTCCACTTTTTCTTTTCTACAAATTTGCCAAACTTAGCAGTTTAAACTTTTACATCTTAAGATTATTTCCATTAGAATAAAATAAGTACATTGTCTACATCCAGAAACCGATGGTAGCGTTAGGACGATTGTAAACCCCATACTATAAATTAACATGGAAAACAGTCGTAGGCAATCACCACGTACGATCACCTTCTGCACTGCTCTATTAACAAATCACCGAACACATAGTGTACACACAATAATGTCATACACTTTGTACTACTCGTTCATGTGGTAGGGCATATTCCGCCACTGATTCCAGTTGTCAATGAACGATTCCAGGGATCAAATACCGGAAGTCACATCAACGGTAGAGAATAATCAGTCTCGATTGATTATCAATAAACAATTACATAACAATTGTGATAACAAATACAGACATGTAAAGGTTCCTGAATATGTCAGCTCCGTTTTGTTTGGAGTCTTTTTTTTGTGATAGAGTTACGAGTAGAAAAGGCTTTTACGTTCTACATCAACATTTCACATTCCAAGAATATTCTTTAGTTATACCCCTAACAAATTACATAGACTCCTGTGTTTCCTGTGGTGATCACATGGAGGCTTTCCTAAGAATTCAAACATCGTAGTTGTCAACTTTAAAAATCCCTTAGCTCATGGTAGTTATGTGTTAGGCCTGTTTAGGATCAGCTTATGTAATACTGATGTTGGTTTTTGAACGCTATTCTGCATTGACCGCATTCGCGACCTTCCCCTAGGTAGTCAGTCCAACTCCGTGAGATCATCTGATCCCTGAATATGATCATAGTCGGTCTGACGTATAGAACTAGCTCTAGTTGAGGTTGAAGACATAGGCTGAAACATATCACTCCGCCGGGAGCCTGTTTGCATAATCATCATCCTTCTCCGATCCTTCAGAGGTTGGGGTGTCTTCAGGCATCTGAAGGCCCTCACGAACGCTTCTCTGAATTTCTTGTTCATGAAACAATATGTTATAGGGTTACAACATGAAGAAACATAGGACAGCAGATGGATCAGGGTCTTTGTTAAGGGTGTGAGATGTTCCTTGGCACTGCTAAAATCAAACATCATCCATGTATTAACGACGTACACAGGCGTCCAGCAGATGAAGAACTCCAACACCACCATGAACAACATCTTGATCACACGGATTTTATTTTCACGTATTTTCTGAGGATTAGAGTGCCTGATTCTATGTATCCTCTTGTTCCTTTTGTGTAGAGGAGGGGTGATGCTGCCTCCGTCCTCCGTGGAGGACTGGGAGGATACGCTTCTCACGGACTCCCGGTTCATCAAGCGCAGTTCAAGAGTTCTGTAGTTCGGGAGGACGAACCGCGGATTTGAATCTGCAACAGGATCAGTTATTGTTAGACATGATGTGAGGTTGATATGAGTTTTTGATATTGATTCTTTTGCCGTTGTATGGGGACGACACCAAGGTTGAAAACCGCAAATACATTTTGAACAGGTGTGTCACCTTAATGTGGGAGGAAGCCTTTGATGGATGTCTTAGACGTTTACTCCCGTGGTGAAACCAACGCGTACGTGTACAGTGGTGACAAACCAAGAATCACAATCAAGGGGAACCTGAGATTCGAACCCATGACCAACCATGAAAGAAATATAAGAGTAAAGATAGTGAAACTACGAGCATGGGAATGGTCATGACAGACCCAAGAATCATAATCAGCAGTTTCGAACTGTTTACAAACAAGACAAGCATACGGTAATTGTCATGACCATTTGACACTTAATCACTGGAGGTGAGATGAGGTGAGACGAAATGGGGCTTAACGTAGCGTCCAAGATTATTGCACTTATATAGCGACGTGCATACACACACTATACTAATTCCAGTCCTTTAGCCCCTTAATGCCGAGCGTCAGGCAGGGTAACATCATTTTTGGTATGATGCTGCCGGGGGTCGAACCTCTCTACCTCTAGACCACGGAGGCGGTCCTTAATCACAGGAAATGAAATAACAAAGCTTGTCTCTGTGTAGACATAGGTTAAGTACAATATCCTATCTGTCTTACCAATATAGCGTGCAGCAGAATCAACTTTTCTCTTATTCTTGTGATAAAGGCGCATTACAGAATCTAACTTTCAACGAAAATCAATTTGATTCTCAGTGTAGTATATTTGCAGAACTACGTTCTTCTGAATACCACGTTAGCTTGAATATGAGTGACAACATGTATATTAAATTTGTAGTAACAGGTTTTAAAATCTTCAGAAATTCAGCCACATTAAACAGGGGGCGCTGGTAATGACGTTATCGCAACTTTCAGCATCGGGGCTTACACAAGTGCTATAAATCATGTTTCTTCAAGCAGGGGACTGACCCGTTATGTTCAAACTGATGATCCGGCATCTCTGGCAAGGTAAGTGGATTTGCCTTGCACGTGATTCTCATATAAAATAAACATTCTCGGATTCATTTTGTTTAAAAGATAGCAAACCAACAGTATTTAGTTTCTCTCACTGCATATAGTGGATATACGTGTCAAGATCATTAGAACATATATTTGTATAAAAAAAACAAGAAATTAAAGAGAAGCTGGAAGAACACGGGGCACCCTGGCACATGTATATCAATTGAAAGACACGAATTACACTGTCTTTGCAGTATCGTTAAAAAATATTAAGTATTTCAAGGTACAGGAATAAAATATTCCATGACCGGTGTTCATAATAATGGTAATGGCAAACTAGTTCCGGGGTTTTAAGAAAGGTAAAAGTTTTTAAAAAAATAAATGAACTGAACGAGGAACAGGAAAAAAACATACCGCTTTTTTCTTGCAGTTGAAAATTGCAGCAGTCTGAAGTTCGTACATCAGTAGCCAACGTCGTAATGACCCTGCCGTAGGCCACGCTCATGACGACGACGGGAATGATGAGCAACCCTAGGTCCAGGACCACCGTATACGCCTTCTCGAAGTCCACGTGCGGCCACACCTCCCTACACGCGTGTTTTCCCCTGGCCAGGCTGACATGGCGCTGGAAGATCGCCACGGGGGTCATTGCCAGGCCTGCCAGAATCCAACACACAGCCAGGGACCTGTAGGAGTGGGAGAGAGTCTGCCAGGACCTGGAGTGCAAGGGTTGACATATGGCGTAGTACCTTTCCAGGGAGATGGCCACGAGGGTGAAGCAGCTGGCGCCAACGGACACTGCTGCAGAGAGAAACGGTTTATTGTCAGGGAGATTGGTTACTATTTATCCATATTTATCCACATATGCGATTTGATAAAAGTCAATAAAAAGCATCTACATAATGAAGCAACGATCTTGGTGATGTAATGTAAATTCCATCTGTGACGTAATACAGACGTAAAGTTTAATGACGTCATATTTGACGTCATATCTATAGTAAACTGTTGTTGACGTCAAGTTGACGGATACAACACCACAGTTCTTTTAATATTTAGTTTGTACGATGAAGAACTTAATAGATATGTGTGGTTATCAATCTAGTTCTTGTAAAAAATAATGTGGTTAACTTCTGGTGCTCGTTTCGTAGAGTGAGCATGACTAACAGACTAATGCATTAATCTGTATATATACGTATTACCAATCAGATTTGAAAGATCTTACTTTCAAATATCTGCATAAAATGAGTCAGCGATTCTCATAGCTTAAAGTGAAACCACATTGCTCTCAATTTTCGGGGAAAACATGATGTTGTTGTTGTTCACGAGGTCACAAGATGATAATTTTGTTTGTTTGTTGTTTAACGCCGCACTCAGCAATATTCCAGATATATGATGGCGGTCTGTAAATAATTAGTCCGGACCAGACAGTCCAGTGATTAACATCATGAGCATCAATCAACGCAATTGGGATACGATGTCATGCATCAACGAAGTCAGCGAGCCTGACCACCGCCCCTAACGACAAGCATGGGTTGCTATAGTGTGGATATGTTATACGTTTACCTTACTCTTTTTTGCGTAAGCGAATGATCAAGTTTCACTGCGCGTAAGCTTAATGTTGGAGGAAAAGCAAGATGCTATATATAAAACATAAATTATTAGACTGACATGCTATACTATATGTTTACGGATATATGTTAATAAAGACGATTTTATCGAGTGTCTCTGTACTTTGTTGGAGACCAAAACCAGTGATGGAGGGCCATTAAAGGTTGGTCAAAGTAATGAAGGGATAAGAATTTCATATTTAAATATTGTGAAGTTAACTGTCTTTAGTAATTGAGACATTCGTGTTAGCAAAATGTAAATACAGTGATTTAGGAGCGCTGCTTGAATTTGCAGCTTGAATTTTCATCAGAAAAAATGACAATTTATGACTCTGGAAGACGTAAGAAAGAAAGAGGTCGCACTAAGCTGTATGAAAACAGACATCATACACTGATATTCATGTTATAAATGAACCAGGTATCACCTTATAATTGCATTGATAGCTTAAGAGATAAACTCGATCGTCCTGACAGCTGAACCAATGCAGTAGCTGGCCATCCACGGGGAATTCTCCAATGGTAATAATGAACGAAACAAGGTGTCAGATGTGGAAGGTCCTCCGCAGTCTACAGAACATGTAACTTGGTTTCAAAGGTCTGTCTGCCCTGTGGAGATCAGGGTTAGAATTGGTCTTCAGCGATCCATGCTTGTAAATGGCGAATAATGGGATCGGGTGGTCAGGCTCGCTGACTTGGTTGATGCATGTCATGGTATCCCAATTGCGCAGACCGATGCTGGTGATGTCAATCACTGGATAGTCTCGATCAGTTACAGGCCGCCGCTATACAGCCGGAATATGCGGGTTAAACAACAAAACAAAGCCAAATCAAATGTCATTCTATCTAGCTTTGCCGTACCGTTCCGCACACAAACGTACCGTTCGCATTACGTATGTGACTAGTGGATCTCGTCACTCGTGTTCAAGTATGGAAAATATCAACCTCTTCCCAGTCAACGGCAACTGGGTAGTATGATCTCATTCCATTTCACGCCTCACTGCATTAATGGATTGCAAGATTATACACTAGATTTGACCAACTGTCTGTTAAATTACTTTTCATTATTATTAGGACCGATGTCGTGTTAACAAATTAACCCCAGGCATTGCGCTTTCAATCTGAGCGTATATAATGTTTGACATGTAATCTTGGTAGGTTCGGTTAATCACGGATAACTGCTTCTGGAATCCGCTTGATTACAGATGTGGTTGACTTATTGTTTTGGAACAAATCTTGGAACGGCAATCGTTCTAATCTACCCTTACCTTACTGACAATGAGAACAAAATATATTGTACTTCATTCATTAATAGTCTGAAAGCTACATCGCAAGAACGATTTACTCGAACCAAGCATACAGTTTGCTGTCCAAGGATGGACGTTGTGAAGGGCGTGACAATGCCACCCTTGTTTGAGCTTGCAATGTGAAAGTTTAGTTTAGTACAAAAAAGGTACCTGGAACTAAAACTGGTTCCCTGTGACCTGCAAGAATTTCGTTATGCTTAATTGGGGACAGAACTGATTGGAGGAATTGTTGATCTATTTATTGATGGCTCAATGGCAATGCACAGATGACAAGTTGAATTAGCTTAGATCGATAACGCGCTACATTATTGATCGTTTTGAAAGACGCAATGAAATGAGGAAGTACTCCTAATTATTTTTTTACTTAACTATTCGTTTTCAAAATACACAATGTCAAAACATTGCAACCAACTGAGATATCATCATGGGAATAAGAAAGTGAGTGGAGTTAACGCTATTGGGAACAATATTTCAGGCTATCCTGGCGCTTACTGTTCAAGGAAGGCCAAAGGTGTATTTCGTTAAACCAAGAAGCACAGGTTTGGGTGACAAACCATGGGTAATAAACGTGGCGAATCTGAAATTCGAACCCACGACCAAACCACTGCAAATCAGTGAATTATGTTGCTTTAGCACATGATGATTGTGTATCAGGCGCTCATAAAATAATTTTGTTTATTCGCTAATAACGCTTACGACTTTTTGGGTATACTGCAAACAGGAATGGCGCAAGACCAAGTTGATATTTTAATGTTCACAGAAACACAATATCATCTCGTAGGAGCTACACGGCAACACGAATGACTTGCCACGGGGCAGTGTGTGACGTTACGTCAACAAAACAACCATATTCGGTTGATGCATCTACGAATTCGATACCAAAATTCCATATTAATTCCTGGGTTGAGACCGATTGGTAGAATCTATTTTGCTTTCACGTCACCGTCTTGGACGCCTAGTTTGTTGAGGTTCAGAAGACAAGATTGTGACAGTATACTGCTCACAGATGAGTTCGGTTTTCGTCTACAAAGCTCTGATGGTCGTGCAAGTGTCTACATGCACCAAGAGAACGTTTCAGCGACGCTTGCGTTACTCAGCGTCGTCAGTGTGAGGGTGGAAGTGTAACGGTATGGAGTTGCATCACAACTTATTAGAAAACACATGTACAGCTCATCACTGTAAATGGCAATTTGAATGGCGTACGCTACCCTTACGACACCGTTCGAGATCATGTTCTACCCTTTGTGCAAATGCAGGGACGTAACGTCACGTTGCAGCAGGATAATACCCACCCACATGTTGCACGTGTTGCAACAGACTTTGAGGCAGCATAACATTGCTGTTATGCCATGGCCGGCTGTTTCTCCAGACCACTCCCCCATTGAACATGTCTGGGATGAGATAGAGAGACGCCTACGACAGGACCAGAACCATGGTGACGCTAGCTCAGTTTGGACAAGCTTTGGTTGACATCGGGAACAACATCCCCCAGGCTGTTTTCAATCATGTGCTATCTTCAGTGCACCGCCCTGTATCAACGCAAATGGTGGTCACACCCGATATTGACACTGTTAGTTGAGTTGTTACACTGCTTTTAGGGCGTGTCGTTCTGTCTCCAGTTACCAGGTATAGCGTTTGTCAATGAATTTGTCATGATACAAAATTGATCAGACGAATGACCAAATATGATGTTGTTATTTTCAATAACGTAACATTTACATCACTTTAAAAAAAACACAGTTACTTTTTTCGTGATTATCCAGTCTGGATTCATAGTTCATAGTTCATGTTAGGTATTGTAGCTGCCACTTACTGGACCGATTGTATTGCTTTTCTTATTGTAAACCTAAAACTGAGTCTTTGAATATATTGTATTAATTATTCTTTGATCTTGTGTGGTTATTCAGTGAAATGTTTGATAGCCATTTCTAAGAAGTTGACGGATGACAAAGAAGACACATTTATGGATTTTAAATTCTTTATTATACTGTTATAGGGACGTTTCAGTATAGATCCTTATACCGTTGTTAGTCTATACCGAAACGTCGCTATTACAGTATAATAAAGAAGTTGTAATCCATAAATTATGTCTTCTTTGGTAAATCTTACAATTTACTTCTGTCGTACCGATTTCCGGTTAGTCTCTGCGCTTCAATTTGAAAATTTTGATTTTAAAGATAAAAGCAACTAACTTTTTGATATAGCAATATATCATCGATTTTCATCAAATATTTAAATACACACTTGAGAAATGAAATGAAAATTACAAAAAACAATGTTCATAAAATTTCTAAACTGGGACTTGCTGTTCCTCGGTGTTGTAATAAGCCTGGAGGATTCATTGATGGTTATTACCCCTCCAATTGACACTAGCTGGTACTCTCAATCTTGCAAAAAGCAACAGCTGTCTTCACTGAATAGCACAACGGAAACACAAGTAATAAATATTCTATATGCGTGCACTGGCTCTGTTTGGCTACCGTTATTATCCGTTTTACGTCAAACGAATCACATGTGCGGGTTGATAAACAGATATTCGCACGGTCATTTGGACATAACAGTTACAAAAACAACATCGTCTACACGTTCCGATCAGACATGTAACAACATACGTTGCAGTACAGCGGCTCTTGCACTGTATACTCGACAGTAAAACAACTCACAAGAGAAATGGCTTGGAATAAGGAAGGGATGATAGGAGCTGCAAACCAACAGTCAAAGAATTCCAATAAACCAAAATTGAAACTTCGGACATAATTCTTGTGGCTAAACTTTTGACAAAACCATTTAAATAGGAGGACCAAACTTCAATTCAGAAAGAACTTTTACCCCCAAAGAAACCTCGCTATGCAAGCAATCATTTGTGAACCGTTGCTATTTATTGCCTATT